CTTTCTTTCTTTCTTTCTTTCTTTCTTTCTTTCTTTCTTTCTTTCTTTCTTTCTTTCTTTCTTTCTTTTTGCGGAACCCGGGATTGAATTCAGGTCCTTGCACTTGCCAGACAAGCGCTTATTCTACTGAGCCATCTCTCCGGCCTCTCAGTACCTCATTTTAACTTGGTTACTGTTGTAAGGATTTGTTTCCAAATAAGATTATTTTCTAAATAACTGGGAGTTAGGATTTCAGCAAATGTTTTTCTTAGAGAACACAATTCAACTCTTAATGCATAACAGTTCAAGAGCTAAAGATTGTACCAAACCTCATTTTCTTAATGACCTAGTTTCTTAAATTGTTTCTATTACTGCCCCAAAATATATACAGACTTGCTAAATTCTGGATCTTTAATGAGAGGTTTATAGTGGAGATACTTTGTGATACTGAAACTTTCTTTTGTTTTTTTATATTTAGGACAGGGTCTACAGGGTGTACACAGTGTCTCACTGTATAGATCGGACTCTTAGTGACCCTTCTGTTTACAGCCTTCCAAGTGCTGGGATTATAAGCATGTGCCACCATGCCCAGTCTCAATTGCCATTTCAGTGTGCCAGTGGGCCGGCCCGGCCCATGGAATCGAATCCCGGCCCTTGCGTCTACCTAAGCAGGCACTTTAATCCGCTGAGCTATTTGGCCAGCCCTGAACTTTCATTTAATGTATCATTAATTATTATCATTTGGAGCAGAATTGTACTGTGGTCATGTTATTGGGATCCCAGGTAAGGGAGCAATTATTAAATGAGTACCAAATATCTTACCGCATTTAAGGTGGCAGAGTTTAGATGAGAACTTATTTCTTAGAAATTTGTACATGTTCTTTAAGGTTAAGCTCTTTCAAATATTTACCATATAGTTCATTGCAGTATAATTCTGTTGTTCATGTGTTATAAATCTATAGAGGGAAACAAATATTTCCCTGACCAAAAGAAAGTCTTTCTTTTCCATTAGAAGCGGTGAACACCACAAGAAGCATCCAAGTCGGAAAAGTTTGGCCAGCTAGTTTTATAATCCCCAGGCTTGGCAATACAAATGAAAGCCTAAGTTCTTGTCACACAGAAGACCCAAATAGCAATAGAATTAGAGAAGAAAATCAGAATAATTATTTTGGGACAGGGGTAGACTGGTTTTTTAAATTATGTTCATCAATTTCAATTAAGAGTTTTTCTGCCCAATTTGATCTTGTGTGTCTATCCAAATTGGAAATATTTTTGTATCAAAAATGTCCTCTTGCCATGGTTTAAGATTTAGCATGTGATAATAGTTCTTTTAAAGGCTTACAGTATGTTTTTGGACAGAACTTTAAAATGTGTCTTTTGTTTTTCAAATGGAAGAGTAAGAAATTCAGTAAATAAAAAAGACAAGTCAGAAAGCTGAAAAAACCTTCATCTCAGGAATGAAGGGGCTATTTTTTTGAGACAAGGTTCTCGCTATGCAGTTTGGGCTGGCCTTGTGCTCACTTTTGTAGCCCCCAGCCTGGTCTCAAACTCACAGCGATCTTCTGTCTCAACCTCCCTAGCACTAGGATTATAGGTGTGCACCACTGTGCTTGATTCTGAAGTGGGTATTTTTTGAATGGAACACAAAATGCATTTAAAACAAGGGCCACATTTTCAGAGCCTAGTCACATGAGCATATTGGATCTGCTACCACTCCATTCTAGGTGGTGATGAATGTTTCCCAGTACTGGACTAGAATTGCCAGCTCCTGAGCTGTTTTTTTTAATGTATTTAGTACAGGCTCTACAGGGTCCCACTACATAGATCAGACTTGTAGTGATACTCCTGTTTTCAGCCTCCCAAGTGCTGCAATTACAGGCTATGGGCACGTGCCACCATGCCATCTTAATCACTTTCTGAGTGCACTTGGGGGCAGGGCTGTCACGGCACACCAGGGAATTGAACTCTGGCTGCTGCGCTCTGCCTGAGAAGGCGCTTTAGTCTGCTGAACTATCAGGCTGGCTCTTCTGAGCTGTTTTAAAAGGAAGGTAGGACTCTTTTCTTTAAAAAAAAAATGGAAGGCTGGCGAGATAGCTCAGTGGACTAATAGCCTGCTTTGGCAAGTGCAGGGACTGGGGTTCAATCCCCAGTCCCTCATGCCACACCAGCCCTGCCCCCAGGGCGCACTGAGCCTGTGAACAAGTCTGGGTGTGGTGGCACATGCCTGTAATCCCAGCACTTGGGAGGCTGAAAACAGGAGGATCACTATGAGTCCAAGCTGCTTAATGAGACCCTGTACCAAATACATAAATGAAAAAAATGTAGATAAATCATTAGTGTGTGTGCATGTGCACACCCCTGTGCAATTAGGACCAAACCATAACAGCAGACCAAATTTAGCCTGCCACGTTATGACCTCTATTTCAACCAAAGTGCCTTATTTTGGCAACAGAACTTAGTTTACAAGGAAAACATGTTGAAGTAATTAGGCCCTGGATTTATCTTGGTTATTTTTCCCTAATTTAATACCAGATTTTAGGCAAGAGAGTTAAATAATTACCTACAAAAGTAATTACCAGAAAGTAATTGACATTTTTGTTGTATATAAATGCATACCAAACTTCTTGGGAGTGTGGGTAGTTGAGAAAATACAGAAATATTTCTGCTAGAAAAAACCTACAATAAAGTTACCAGACTTCTGATAAGCAGTCCCTCTAACAGCTGTGAACAATGACTACTTCAGCATGTTACTGTACAATCCTAATTATGGAACATATAAGGTGACATTAGTCTAGCCTGCATTTATTTTCTAAAAATACAGGAGAAAAACCTTAAGTAGTCAGGGCAAACTGCATTCTTATATATAGTTCAACTGGCTTCTGTTTTCATTTTATATGGATAATACGTATTTATTATGATAGAAGTGATATCTTTCATATCAGGGAAATAGAAAGCTTTCTACCCCAAATAAGGTACAAGTGAGAAGCAGGCTTGCCAAGGAATTTGCTCAAGCTTATGCAAATAGTAGTATTTTACATTTTAAGATTTTACAGAATTTTTTCCTGTGGGCATGAAGGTTGTTAAAATAGAAAAGTTTTCTGTTGTAATGTTTTGTCCTACAGTTACTTTAAAATTCATTAAAATTCTATATATAATAATGTTTAAAGTTATATATAACATTGTAATATAGCTACTT